CCTCTCTCTCTCTCTCTCTCTCTCTCTCTCTCTATATATATATATATATATATATATATATATATATATATATATATATATGTCGGAGTTAGCTCCTCCTTAGCTCCTTAACCCTTTCACTAGGGTTCTCTCTCCCCTGGCTTTAAATACTCGCTGATCCTTAGCCTCGATCTCTTTTTCCCTCAGGCCTTTGGGCTGCCACCTTGAGGTAAATCTCTTTTCCTCAGGCTTTCAGCCTTACCACCTCGCAGATGTGAATGCTCACAGATACAGCGTTTCCCAAATGCTGGGAACACGCTAAGAACAATACACGTACGTACGAACACTCACCACAATACACACATATAATATTCACCACACACAATCTGTCCATGTAACTGTCCATGTGCTTGTAACCTTTAACTTGTTGTTAATACATATATTTGTTTACATATATGTATCGGTCTTGTGCTTGTTTTTCCTTGTCTTCTTTGAACTTAATTAAAGTCCAACTTTCTCATGTAGTTGGACCGGCTAGCAGGAAATCTTAACTCACGTGTGTTCTTCTACAATACATACTCATTACCGCCTACGGTATATATATATATATATATATATATATATATATATATATATATATATATATATATATTATAAATTAACTGATTTAAAATATGGTTTTTTCTTTAATTTAATTACAAAAATTAAATTGAAGCGTTTAGCTTCCATTTTTGAAACATGGTTAGAACTGTGTAGCGAAAAAACATATTTTAAATCAGTTAATTTATAATATTAATGCTATGTAAATTTACATTGAGCACTATTTTGTAAAAATAAAAATATCTATAAGAACGCCGGATTATATATCTTACTGTTCTTTTCTTTCTATTTATTTACATACACACACACACACACACACACACACACACACACATACATATATATATATATATATATATATATATATATATATATATATATATATATAGTACAGGTAATAAATTCGTTGGTATATAATCCAAGAAAATCTAGTACATTAGCATTAGTTGAAATAGTCTACTCTCATGAGTTAATTGTGGATTTCTCTAATAATATAAAATTTCTTGATTTCTCTAATAATATAAAATATTAAAATTGTGCCATTTAAGTTAAAAAATACTAGCACATTGACGTTAGTTGAAATAGTCTATTCTCATAATATAATTCTGTATTTCTCTGTTATGTAATATATATATATATATATATATATATATATATATATATATATATATATATGTCGGGAACCGACAGGATGATAAGATAAGAGACAAATAGGAAACCATTATCAATCTAACATGCTTCATTTTTATTAAAGCTTCGTCAGAATAAGATATAGAGAAAAAGAAGAAATTGTCTGGTTGATATATATATACAGTGCTGTTCGATAAAGTGACTCACCTTATCCTTTGGATTTAGCTCAACTTTCATTTCATCGGAGAAGAGAATATTCTTCCAGTCTTCTTCCAGTCTTCTACGGTGAAATGTTTGGAATAGTGGGCCCATTCAAGTCTCTTGGCTTTGTTGGCTTTGCATATTAGCGGCTTAAACCTTCGTGTACAAGATTTGTAGCCTTGTTCTAACAAGATTTGTAACCTTGTTCTGACGGACTGTTGAAGAGGCAAGACTAACACCTTGCTCTTTGCTTAGACTGGCTGCAATTTCTTGCGCAAGAGAATGTGTTACTCTCTTACGAACAACACAAAGAAATAATGGGGAGGGATAAGTCATGATTTTAACTTCAGTGAATTTAATATATGTACTTGTTAGTAAATTCTGTTAAGTCTCTTTTTGAAGGTTATGGAAGTATTTTCCCAAATTTTATTGCAAGCATTCAGGACATAGATTGGCACAATTAATGATTAACCTATTGCTATTGGTGTATCATGTAGAAAATATTATGCTGTATTGAATTAATTAAACTCGATTTTTTTCAGACCTACCAAGCGAAAAGAACCCGGTTCTCAGAAATCTTAAAATCTCCTTCGGGAGACAATTACTGCCACACCCAATATGGGGCAGCCTTGGAAAATAGTTTTGATTTCTTTTTTAAATCAGTATCACCCCAAGCAAGGCAGTAAAGGGTGTGGAGGAATTAGGAACAGAAACATTAATAATGAGCAGGAAGAGAAAAGAGCAATCAGGATTACAGCTGGTAACGATTGACATTGCATTTAAATTTTTGCAGATTAAAATTGGATACAAAGCATGGAGCCGGGAGGGAGTTCCACAAGTGAGAAGTGCGAGATAAGAAATTGTTAAAATAAAAGTTACGGTTACATCTAGCTAGCTCAACTATAAATTGCGCTTAAATTCATATAGTCTAGCGAAGAGTTTAACGGAACAATTAATATGAAAGTATTTATAAAAGTGGCACAAAGAGGCAACATGTCGACGGTGGAAAAAAATAAAATAACAATAGTTAAATATCCAAGTTTTTAAAACTGTGAATATTAATCATGTTCTAGTTAGGCCGAGTTACACAAAGGTGACAATCAAAAGTCAAACTGAGTATTAAATCGCCCGGTTCACACTCCTCCCCGGTCCTTTTAACAGGACTAGAGGTTTCCTCTTTAGGATTAGGTTTTCCGGTTCCTTCATTTTCTTTCACTCCCAGTAGTCCGTTGCGTCTTAGTGGCATTATCACCTTACATGGAAGAGGAATTGTTTAAAACAAAATATCAGTTCCATAATTTTCCCCTCCGTTGTAGCTCTAAGTAATGTTCGTCTTTTTTCTACCCCCTCCCAGACTCAATTCTGCCAACCATTTACACAAGCTCGTTAAGTAGGGTGATCATGGCTCTCCACAACTTCCTATCCTTTGTAGCTGTAAGTAATATTTGTCTTTTTTCCATCTTTCCTAGTCTCAATTCTGCCATCCATTTACACAAGCTCGTTAAATAGATTGATCATGGCTCTCCACAACTTCCTATGCTTTGTAGCTCCAAACAGCATTTGTTTTTTTTACTATCCTTCCCAGTCCATGTTCTGCCATCCATTTAAACACGCTCAAGTAGGTGGATCATGGCTCTCCACAACTTCCTATCCTTTGTAGTCTAATGTTTGTCTTTTTAATATCACTCCCATTCATATTCTGCTATCCATTTAGACAAGCTCGTTAGGTAGGTTGATCATGGCTCTCCACAACTTCCTATCCTTTGTAGCTCTAAATAATGTTTGTCCCTTTTACTATCTCTTCCGGTCCCAGTTCTTCCATCTATTTACGAAAAATCTTTAGATACGTTACTTTCTTGCCTTCAGTATGCCCTGTGAGTGTTTCATTCTCCAAGCCCCCTTTCCTCATTATGTGCCTCAGAAATTTTAACTGTTTTCTTTTTGGTTCCATTTTTCTAAAAACTGTCCCGTTGCTCAAATGCTCCGTCTGCGGTGTTCTCAACATCCTTCTGTAGAAACACATGTCTATTGGCGTAAGTCTTTTCTTCATCTGTGAGAAAATTATCTAGCATTCACTGCCATATAGAAAGATTAATATTACGTGGCAGTTCTGCATTCTCCTTTCTTTTTAATGATATTTTCCAGTTTATTATTTACATTATCCGGACTATTGTCCTCATTTTTGTCGCCATATTTATTACAACGTTTCGGCCGTTGTACGCTCCGGCCTTCTTCAGGTGGTTGGAATGTCGAACTGAACCCTTTATTTCGCTCACTGGGGTAGACTGTTCTAGTTCCATGTGCCATGTTTAATGGATGTCAGTTATCAGTTATCTCCTGCTAATTTCCCCCTGAAAGTTATCCACTGCCTTAACCGGGCATTGAAATCACACTCTTTGGGTCCTGTTACTGGATCTAACCAATGCCGTTATCCACTGTTCTTGAGGATATCTGGGTATGAATTTCTGGGTATTATAAACTTAATGTCTTCAGTAACCACTTTTACCAGTGCTCATATTGCAATTTTGCTGTTATCATTACATGTTTTTACCAGAGCTCATATTGCAACTTTTGTTGTTATCATTGCTTTTTCTCTGGCACTCCTTATTACTGGTTCCCATATTGTATTCATTTCTATGCTTGACAACGAAACGTTGTAATAAATATGGCGACAAAGATGAGGACAATAGTCCCAATAATGTAAATAATGTACATAATGCCTCATCTCAGAAATATAGACAGATTTTCCATTTTCTTATTACTTAAAAAACTTTAAAAAGACTAAAAAAAAAAAATACTCCGTAATGTTTTGACGACAACTGTAGTTAGTCAAATATTTGACTCTTTTATCCCCTTCATTCTCTCTCTCTCTCTCTCTGTCGTCCTCACCCTCTGATCTTTCTTTCTTTCTTTCTCTCTCTCTCTCTCTCTCTCTCTCTCTCTCTCTCTCTCTCTATATATATATATATATATATATATATATATATTGACACTAGTAGCGTTATTCAAAAGTAAATTTACACAATTAAATTAATTTTTAAATGATGTAATTTATTAAGAATAGTTTTCCGAAGTTTTCCCGAAAAAAAAAAATTAAATGGATTATTAAATTTATATTTCTAACGGGATCCTTTTTAAAGTTGCTATTTTTTTTATGAACAGACTTTAACATGGCGACTAATCTTTGTCACTGATGACAGCAAATCCAGCTATACCGTATTGACACGGTGGGAAGTTAATCGAAACAGCTGTTTTTTTTTTTTTTTTAAAATTTTTTTTTAATCTATTGTCTATCACAGAAAATAAACACTTTCAGAAGGCGAAATTATTTATTTAAAACAAATTGGGCTCGTCCGGGAATTGAACCCGGGACCTCTCGCACCCGAAGCGAGAATCATACCCCTAGACCAACGAGCCGCTTACACAGACGTCCTGCAGGTAGGTCATGTAATTATTGAGCATATGTGGCCGCTGACGTGTCTTTTATCATTGGTTAATAGTTCTTTCTTTAGTCAAGGATATGGACGGGAGTGTCAGTATATTGTGGATTTATTTATAACTCCTTTGACAAGTGTTTGTTTCAGAGTAAATTAGGTACGTGCGCATGTCTGTTGTGGTTTAAATGAAATGAAAAGGATGTAGGAATATAAGAGAAGCACACGTACACATACATAGCGTAAAAAGAAAGAAAGCGTAGCAGAGAGAAAGAGAAAGAGAGAGGGAGAGAGAGAGAGAGAAGGAAAGAAAGAAAGAGAGAGCGAGAAAGAGAGAGAGAGAGAGAGAGAGCTAAGTGAAGATAGATAGATAGATAGATAGATAGATAGATAGATAGATAGATAGATAATTAACAGACTGAGGTAATAGATATGGAAAGAATAAGATAGATAGACCGAAAAAATAGATAGATAGACATAAAGGCTAAGACAGATAGATAGACATAAAGGCTAAGATAGATAGATAGATAGATAGATAGATAGATAGATAGATAGATAGATATGGAAAGATAGATGGATGGATAGATATATAAAGGCTAAGATAGATAGATAGATAGATAGATATGGATGAATAGATATATAAAGGCTAAGACAGATAGATAGATAGATAGATAGATAGATAGATAGATATGGAAAGATATGGATGAATAGATATATAAAGGCTAAGACAGACAGATAGATAGATAGATAGATAGATAGATAGATAGATAGATAGATAGATAGATAGATAGATAGATAAATATATAAAGGCTAAGATAGATAGATAGATAGATAGATAGATAGATAGATAGAGATGGATGGATAGATATATATATGGAAAGATGGATGGATAGATATATAAAAGGCTAAGATAGATAGATAGATAGATGAATAGATAGATAGATAGATATGGAAGATATGGATGAATAGATATATAAAGGCTACGTCAGACAGATAGATAGATAGATAGATAGATAGATAGATAGATAGATAGATAAATATATAAAGGCTAAGATAGATAGATAGATAGATAGATAGATAGATAGATAGATAGATAGATAGATAGATATGGAAAGATAGATGGATGGATAGATATATAAAGGCTAAGATAGATAGATAGATAGATAGATAGATAGATATGGATGAATAGATATATAAAAGATAGATAGACAGATAGATGGATGAATAGATATATAAATAGATAGATAGATAGATAGATAGATAGATATGGAAAGATATGGATGAATAGATATATAAAGGCTAAGACAGATAGATAGATAGATAGATAGATAGATAGATAAATATATAAAGGCTAAGAAATATAGATAGATAGATAGATAGATAGATAGATAGATAGATATGGAGCAAAGAAAATAAAAGACAGAAATACGGTGAATAGATAGATATATATTGAGAGAGCAAAGGCAGAGAGAGAACGAGAGGGCGAGATGGGAAATATATACAGGGAGAGGGGGGTACACAGAGAGGACAGAATGCAACAACAGAGAAAGTCAGATAAAGCAGAGATAGATAGATAGATAGATAGATAGATTTTATAGTAAATATACAAGCAATACATTTTCATAATTAATATATTACCAACAATACATTTTTGGAAAAAAAATTTACCAGCAATACATTTTTGTAAAAGAAATTACTAATGCTCCCAAGAAAATTAATTTTCGGTAATAAATGACACATAAGTATGTTGATATGCCAGTAAACAAAAAAAAAAAAAAAAAAAAAAATGAAGGCATACTTTATCTGCAATCTGTCTGGGCCTCTGTCTTGTCCATTTTTAGCTTTGTCTCACCTCTATCGGTCCTCAACTGCACAGAAATTTATACAGAAATATGAATGAGTTTTTCTAGTTTTATAAGAAGTAGTCAACCCATGATATGGTTTTCAGGCACTTTCCAAAGGTGCCGCACATTGGGTTCGCCTCATCCAGACCGATAATATCAAGATGCTACCTTCCTGACAAATCGACCACGTTGAGATTCGAACCCGGGTCTCATGGTCAGAAAGCTAACGTTCTAGCCACTCGGCCACGTGCCCAAGCCTTGTGCGCGAAATTGGGTAGCCGTTAGGGGTTGTGCTAGCTCGAAGTCACAAGTCATCGTGACCGAGGGTATGAGCGTGCTAGCCTTGTTCAGACTGTTGTTCACGCTAGATAACGCACTCTTCACTAGAAACTGTAACTAAGGTTCGCTCAGCATAGTTGCAGGAAAAACCACAGGTAATAAATGACCCATAAGGATGTTGATATGCCACTAAACAAAAAACAAAAAAACAAATGATGGCATACTTTATCTACAATCTGTCTGGGCCTCTGTCTTGTCCATTTTTAGCTTTGTCTAAAAAAACAAACACAAATATGCCTGAGCAGGCATCTGCAATAGGGATTACCTTCCGCTCTAGTAAACTGGCATCCTCAGATTCGAGTGGCTGTGCCACGTTTTTTTTTAAATTTTTTTTAATAAGAAGTGGTAGTGTTTTGCCATAACAAAAATGTTCAGCTATGGCTTTTCTTTCTGGGTGAGGCTTAGAACTTTTTGAACAACTCTCGTATATTTATCGAGACGAAACAAAATTACGTAAAAAATAATTGTGTTTGAAGGATAGCGATATGTATTATCCCGTTTAAAGTTTTTCTTAAGTGCCTCCAGTAAATGGTAGTCAAGTAATGTTTTATTCAATTTTTCTTGCGTTATTCTTTTTTGAGGACTGACACAGTGTTTATTGTCCCGGGCGTTTTCGGCTAATTCTTGAGACATTTTCAAAGGGGAGTTTAATTTCATTTTTTGCAACTTATCAACCTTTGCAGGTTTAAAAAAAAACAACCCCCCCCAAAAAAAACAGAAAATATTTTCAGATTGTAAGACAATTTCTTTTTTATATAATAATGATATACAAGTCCTACTAATTAACCCATAGCTGGAGGCGAGAAGAGAAGAGGGGGATTGATACCTTTCCTTAGGGTATTTACGCTCACACATCCAAGTTTACAGCACCTGGTCACCCACTAATCGATCACCCATCTAGGGTCTACGTTCGGCGATCGGACGGGAAACGCCGTTTCTAGGTGATATGTATAGAAAACAAAACAAATACATGGACATTTATTGTAGTGTATGTCAAAATTATTTGTATGTCGATGCTCGAGCACCTTCAGTCTTCTCTGGGTATTTTCAAGAACGCAATATATTTTGGTTTTTAGGTTTCGAAATACGTACAGATAATGTCAGCACACACGAGGATCAAGACTCCGTTTTTAATTTTACGAGTATAGGATATAAACTCTTATATTTTACGGTCAATAAGGGAAGCACGAGCAAGTAAGAAACGCCTTCAAATAACTTCTACGAGCATCAGTAGATACGAAAAAAACATTACAATTTACGTCTCCAAAGTTAAATAAGTGATTTCTAGAACCTGACCGGTCACCTGACAAGTCACATGATGTGCTCTCTACGACGTCCGCGTGGTTAAACTCCAAATGTTTTAGAAATAGGTCAGGAGTTGGGTTACCCAGTACATTCCCGCGTGGAACTCAGAATTCATGAGCCGATCACCGACTCGCCATAAGACATAAAAACGGCTTGTCAGTAACAGTCACGAGGGAGATTTGAAACGTAACGCTCATCGAACAGACCCGGCTTTGACAAACGTTACCACGACAGCGTGTCAGTCAACAATGATTTTTTACATACAAAGCGAAGTAAGTCTTGTCCCATCTCTCCTTGTTCACTGTGTTTTAAAATTACTTTTGTTGCATAAAATCAATCAGCAGTAACACACGTTTCATTAGCGTTTGTATCACGCACACATATTGGCGTACAATCATTTCGAACTTTGCTGACTCACTTGCAACAAAATAACTTCGAACTTTGCAGATTCACTTGCAACAAAATAACTTCGGACTTTGTAGATTTACTTGCAACAAAATAACTTCGAACTTTGCTGACTCACTTGCAACAAAAATCATTGCAGATTCGCAACAAAATAATTGAACTTTCAGATTCATTCAAAATCTTGACTCACTTGCAACAAAATAACTTCGAACTTTTCAGATTCACTTGCAACAAAATAACTTCGAACTTTTCAGAATCACTTACAATAAAAATCATTTTTGAACTCTGTGGACACGTCACTCAGATTTTATTTTTCCACCTAAAATTTGGATAGTCAGTCTCCACACAAGTCAAAATTGTTATAAAATTACCATTTTATATAAACAATAAAAACTGATAATTTATTTTTTTCCGAAATTTACAGCTAAAGTCCAAGGGAGAAAAAAGAAAATTGTTTAAAACCTTTTTCTTTTTCATTATTGAACATTACACCACAGACACACCCATACATATAGCGATTTACTAAAAGCGTTGGTTAGTTGTGACACAAGGCCGAAAGTATGGACTAGAAAGGATACTGTAAGCGTAACTTAGATTAGCAACAATGTCGAAAGTGCGGAGTACCCAGTGAAAATCGAACTCACTACTCAGCCGTAATTGATTTCGCGAGACAAGCTTGTTAACCATTACACCACGTCAAAGTGCCTGACACGTATTATAGATTACGATTAATTACAGTTGAGTAGTAAATACGAGATTAAAATATTTGCTGACTGACCGACAAAACTTGGTAAATTTTGTAAATTGCTTTGTTAATATTGACATCGTGGAATTTGAGAATAAGTAATATAACATACGAGAAAAAAAAATTTCCTAGCACGAGTGGGGTTCGAACCCACGCGGACATTTGTCCATTGGAACTTAAGTCCAACGCCTTAACCACTCGGCCATCGTGCTTAACGGGTTTCCACGCCACTTATAAGTTTATACATATCTTAAATATATCGTTAACATGCGGTCGATCAGTTCCACAATGAAGCAATTTAATCAGCCGATCTCCTATTTTTGCGTATTTAGTAATTCAAATTGTGTCGTGGCGACCGGGGTCAGTGCTCTGTATTCGAGCACAGGGTCACAAATGTTGCCCAGGAATACGACCCAGCCAAGCTATCGCCACGTTAGAAATTTTTTTTTTAACGCAATCTTCTTAAAATTTATTAAATTAAACTGTACAGTGTGAATTTAAAAAACTTATTGATTGAGTCAGTCAATCAGTTTAATAAAAAAAAAAAAAATGTTTCCTGAATGATAGGAAACAGAATATTTCGTTAAAAATACAAAAACGGCGAATATTTTTTTTATCGGAAGAAATATCGTATTTAAATTCTTAGGAGAATGTACAGATCTGCTCTTTCTGTGTAAACCAAAAATTCAGTTTTTTTTTTTTTTTTTTCGCATATCTGTTTTTAACTTACTATGTCGCTAAATTCCAGTCGAATAAGCTTGGCACAAAATTTCAAAAATGAGGACTTTTAGTTTAGTTGTTAAAGTACTCTGAAGTTTGTGACAGGGTGTAAGAGACGGGAAATTTATCAGGGCATGTAAAAAGTTTATTTCGGGTCACACTTCTGCTCCCATTTGTTTGTTTCTTTTTTTCTTTCTTTCTTTCACACAGTTCAAATTCAAATCTATCTATCTATCTATCTATCTATCTATCTATCTATCTATCTATCACAATTTGTTTAAATCCACCTATCTATCTATCTATCTATCTATCTATCTATCTATCTATCTATCTATCTATCTATCTCTATCTATCTGCTTTGGCAAAACTGAATAAAAAACATACACAAGACTTTCCTTGTCCGTCACGTTCAACGAAAATATAAGAAAGGAGTGCTTCCCATTTTATATATATATATATATATATATATATATATATATATATATATATATATATATATGAATTTAATTAGAAAACAGACAACCTTAAGTTTGTTTTCTAATTAAATTATTTGCTCTGGTTTGACATCAAGCTCTCTGGATTACAATTACATCCTCCTTGGGATTATCCATACGGATTACCAAACTTTTCATTACCTAACCCCACCACAGATATATATATATATTAAAAAGAAGAGAAGAGAGGTGCCGCAAACGTTTTTGGTTGTAATATGGATTTATTTAGAAAAAAATATTATTCTTTATTTTCCATAATTTTACTACACGTGTTTCTGGTCTCGCGACCGTCTTCAGGTGAAAGCGGAGATTTCCAAATATTATTAAAAATAATTAATTTTTTTCTTATGTTTTTCAATGTTAAATATTCTCGATATGAGACATTTTCTGTTTTTGTGTTAGTAATCCGAATTTCCTTCTTGAATTGGCAATGAAGAGTTCTGCGCAAAGGGTCATAAAACAATTAAGGTTGGTCCAAGCGAAATGATGAATTACTTATCGGCATTTTATCTTATTGGTGTGTGTGTGTGTGCGTGCGTGCGTGCGTGCGTGCGTGCGTGTGTGTGTGTGTGTGTGTGTGTGTGTGTGTGTGTGATCTTGCAGGTGAATTATTAATTTTGATAATCTGAGTAGCGGTTTAAATTTTTTTATAATTTGTAATCCAGTCAACAAGAAGATTAAATAAATTATTTATTACAAAATATTTAAAACCTCTAACTTCCCCGTCGAAAATAATAATTCACTTTCAAGATATACATTGCAGAGA